TGATTCTTTCAGCCATCACAGAATCTGTGCTGCATAATTTAAGTCCCCCGTATTCCTTGCAGCTGTTTCCTGTGTGCTCGCTGTGTAAACTCTTTGAAGGCAGAGTCCCCTTCTGAAATGACTGCATCCCTCACAATGCCTAGAATATATTGGCTGTTGAGTGGTTGGGAAATAAGGCCCATTACAGGAGGAAGGGGCAGAAACTCATATCCTGGAGTGTCAGGTACTGTGCTGGGGCTGTACTTACATGCACAAAGAGCCTCGACAGTGTGGCCTAGTGGAGAGAAAACTGGGCAACAGAACAATTTTGCTATCTGAAAGCCTTTGACACAGAGGTCCTGAACCCATGACTCTCCTTCTCTGAGGACAGAAGAGAAGAAAGCATGTCTGTCCTGCAGCACGTGGGCCGGATGAAAGGATTCGATGGATGTGAAATTAAGCACTGGAGTGGGTTCCTGGAGAGGCCATGAGCCCTTCCTCGCTGAATGTCCCTAAAAACAGAAGAGTGAGGCTTCAGGATGCACTGACTAGCCTCCTGAGCAGTGGCAGTTGGACAGTCCACCCTTACTATCTTTATCAGAGTTACAGATAAGAAAGGTGAGCCTTTTGGGGGTAAAGTATCCTAGAGGAAATGTTGATTGGCCCTTTTGCTTTATGATCTCCTGAGGTAATGAACAAGGTTCAGGAGGATTAGCTGACTGCAGGCAGACCAATGTTCCTGTGTAGAGAAATAAGGTAGACTCTCATTACCATCCAGCTCACTTTCCCAAGAATTATGTGTTTCATGATCAGAAAATGACCCCCAAACCTTTCCAACTACATCCAGTAAAAGGCTGATACAATTCCTGCTTTAGACCCGTGTACTCCTTCTTACAATGATTAAATGTTTTCTGCATAGGGGCTGTGTTCCTAACTAGATTGTCTAGGGCAGGTATCAAGCCCAATTATTTCTCTAGGATCTCCTGATAGTAAGTGCACAAAGAATGTACACATGAATAACTAACCTTCTACAATAATTTGTGAGTACTTTCCCCACATGTTTCCTAATTAGTCCTCACAACAACCCTGTGAGGTAGGTACGATGGTTAACTCCCATTTTCCAGGTAAGGAAATGTATTCTGAGTGCTTAAGTGGCAAACCCAGTATCACACAGTTGGTAAGGAGTTCTTTCCAACACACTGTGATGCTTAAATGAACTAAGGAGCTTGAAAAAAGTGTCAGTTCGGTCTCTGTCCATCATGTATTTTATCGTATAGATCAGTGTGCATTATAATACTTCAGGGACAGGTACTAAGTCCAAGGACTAAGTCCAAGCTTAGTACATGATGAATAAACGAATATAAATAAATGAACAGACACATTATACAGCAAATGCTCTGCATGGAGTCAGTGGAAAGGAGACAATTAAGGAGAGGGAGAATCTTTCATTCAAATTATTCATAGTGAGATCCAGACATCCCAGCCATGCCCTCATAAGGCTTACAGTTCATTGCAAGAGACGTTAAACAAACAATATTTCAGTAAATTAGTCACAATTTTGTTAAATGTTACTAAATGTAGCAGGGAGCTTTGCTCTGGTCTGAAGAGCAATTTGGCCTCTTTGGGGCAAAGGGGATACATTTATATGGGCAGAAGCAGAAGTCGAGGCAAGTTAAAAGAGCAAAAGGGGGAAGGAAATTGCATCTCACAAAAAGAACGTGACATCAACTTCTAGTCCTGCTGCCTGGCTGCCTAACTGCTTACAGGGAAAAAAGAAAGAAAGAAAGAAAAAGGTGAAGACAAGAGAGAAGTGAGAGGTCAGTTTATGTAAGCGGGGTGGGGCCGGGCGGCAGGGAGTTGCAGGAGAGAGACGTGAGCCGGCGTCGAGGGAGTT